AAAACTATCACTTGCTTGTAGACTATTAGTTATCAATCAAGTCATTCTAGCATCAATATGGTACTTGATTTCATATGCAAATTTTGGAGATATGATCTTTGTACAAATCAGGTCATTAATTTGCAATTATTTGTAGAGAAGCATCACAAATAGAATGGCTAGAGCAAAGGTCAAATGAGACACCATTACACAACCTTTAAGTAATGAGAGACTAAAAATCTTTAATTGTTAGGGACATAATCCTTAGACCTTTCTAGAGACAAGTTTCTAGAACCTTCTAGAAAGAAGTCTCTAGAAACTTCTAGAAGATTCCTTGAATATTCTCTTAGAATATTCTTCAAAGATTCCCTAAAGATTCCCTTAGAAGGCTCTAGAAGATTCTTAGAATATTCTAGTAGATTCTAGGAAGTTACTTGAGAAGCTTCCTAGCTCTTGGGTAGTTGCTCGAGAACCTTCATAGTTCTTGGGAAGCTTCTTGATGTGCTTCCTTAGAACCATAGGCCAGTAGTATATATAGGAGTCGAGGCTGAAGAGTTCTTCGGTCTCGACAACACATCTCTTGAAGCTCTAGCTCAATTCTCTTGGCGTTGCTCTTGTACTCATCTGATAATCTAGTTCTTGTCATTTCTTCTTGAACTTCTTGTTTAGATTTCTTGTTTGTATTTTTGGTCCATGACATTAATCCAACAATCCAAGCAAAAGCCCTCCTTGCCAAACTAATCATCAAAGGTCTCACATCAGGCCTAGAACCTTGAAAAACCCTCCTAAGACATAGATTGGAAACAACACGAGTCAAGCATTATAGCACCTAACATCCTACTACCTATTAAATCATGGACTATAAACCAGTCATTACAATAGGCTTGTAGCTCTAAAAAAATACATTCACAACTCGGCAAATCATAATGAGTAGCCTTATTCTTCTTATCCCACAATACCAAGGCGAAATACTACAAGAGCCATTTTACAAAAATCTACATTTATTAGATGTCAAAGAAAGAACATGGAGCTCAAACAAAGACAATGGACTGATCAACTAATCACATAAGGGAGTCCTCACATTAAAAGACATTTGGGATGAAAACCAACAGAATTGATTTACTCCAGCAAGACTCCATATCAGAACCAAAAGCCAATATATAGACCTTCAACACTACCAAATCATACTACAAATCCCTTAGCATCCAGATTAAGCAAAATCCTACTCACCTAGAGATTAGTGGACTCTAAAGACACAAGATAGTATAGTCAAAATCTATTATATCCATGGTATTAAATATAGCATGCTCCAAGGCACAAAATACATCATATTGGCCTCAAAGGAATTAGAAGTAGTGCATCACAGACCATTCCAAGTCAAAGATGTCAAACTCTAGCATGTCCGTATTGCCATCAAAGATGCCATGAATGCATGTATTGGATTCAACTTAAATATCCTAGTTAAATGGCCTCATACACCATCACCAATAGGTACCACATCCATTCAATCACTCACATTTGATTTTAGAGAATGGATTTGGCAATCCCCTAGTACTAAACCAATGCAAATCATTTATGACTATACCACCAAATTGGAATATGAGATCAACATTATCCATTCAATCACACCTCTCAAAAGTGAAAGTTTACTCCGAGAACACAATTTGGATAACAATCAGTTCAAACTCTTTTATAGAAAGGTTTTGCATCTTTAGTTTGCTTGGAAGGTGTCTGCCATGCATTGATTAACCTTAGTCAGAGGCATCCTAGTGGAATATTGGCATAGGATGAGGGACATAGATCCTAACTACAAACTTTGCAATTGTGGAGAAACCAAGACAATATAGCATGCATTTTATGACTACTTAGTAGTTAAACATACTTGAAAAAGCTACAACCAACTTTAAAGCATAGCCACTTTGAGCCCTATCTTCGAATGGCACGAGATACTATAAAATGATCTTAATCCTATAGCATTACAAGAAGTATGTCTCACCACCATGATCCAAATCTCCAAAGAAAAATTGTGGTTGATACTAAAATAACTAATTTTGTCGTACATATGGTGCACAAATGCAACTTTGATAGAGATTGCGACTCTTTCTTCAAAGGATAAATTCTTTACAAGGCCTAGAAGACAACTATACAAATAGGACATGAAGCATGGTGTGAAGTACATAGAAGAACCTCGGGAGAGCTCCAATAGAAAACTTCACTCTTAACCAAAATATAGACAGACAAAGCAATCTTCTCGAAATGTAATTCCCTTACTTAGAATATGGTGCCACCCACCCAACTACTCATGGTATAATTCACCATCCAATCCTAGCAAACTAAAAATGTTTGACCAATCCTACATCTAATATTCTGTAAAGCCATAGAGGATTTCTTTACATCAGTGGACCTCAATGTGGCAACTTCAACTCCCATCAACTGAGAGAGTCATCTACAGCACACATTTAGCAAAGAAATCCATCACCAGCAAGAAAACACACCATTTGGCACCACAAATCTAACAACCTCTACTGATAGAGAAAGTCAAATACAACATACAAATAAAAAGAAGCCCAACCTCCATAAGAAATTGCACCAATTGGCACAACTTTCATCAGAGAACGTCGACAATACAACATATCACAAAGAGCTATAAAAGCATCTCGAAGAACCTATCAAGGATCATAAGTCCATTAAAGTACTCATTGCGTGTCAGTGTAACTTTGATTTACTTTAATCATCATGCGGATTTTAGCTCAAATAGTAGAGTGCTCACTTAGCATATAAGAGATAGGAGGATCAATACTCTGCATCTCCATTTTTGTAGTATTTTTTGTCAATCCTTTTATTCCACCGTTCTGCTTTTAAACTCTTTCTTTTCTTATTTGGAATCGCTTTGACATCCCATTTATTTACTTACTTCCAAAGTAGTGATAGATCAAACTCAATTGTTATCTAAACCACTTCATTATGTACAATCAAATGATGTGTGAAAAAAAAAAAAAAAAAAAAAAAAAAAAAAACTTTTTTGAGTCATTTCCATGTCATTAGATTACTGTTGAATGAAATAAACTAAACATTGAATTTAGTACATAAACTAGTATTTTGTATATAAAGTAATTTTTCCCAATACAACAATCATGTAATCTAACTTAGTCTAGCAATCACCTCATATTCCTAAGATATGGAGAGTATCTGCCTTAATTCCACACTTTTAGGTCATTTGGCCATTCATGGAATTGAGTCTTAACTGAAGGAGTTTAAAACATTTTTTTTAAAGTGTTCAAAGACTTTTGTTTGTAGGGATGATGTTTTGTAGAAAAAAAAAAAAAAACAAAACAAAACAAAACAAACAAAAAGATGGGATGTCTCTACTTTTGCACTTGTTTTAATAAATAAGTTAAAAGATTTAAATTTAACCTTTGATAAAAACTTGTTGGTTACAATTTTGAATCATATAATTTCAACCTCAATTGATGAGAATAAAAGTTATACCATAAGTAAAGAGTGTAATATAATTAGATTTATAAATAAATAAATAAATAAATATTTTCTATTATTATTTATGAAAAATGAATTAAATGTTGTTGATAAACACTTTAATCATTACAAAGAACTAAATTGAATTAACATTTTTTTAAATGTCTATTGTATTGGCATCTTCATACCATTACTTTGTTGTTCTTTGTTCCTAAGATTCATAATAATATATTATGTCTTTTTACTTCATTCTATTAAAATACATTGTCTTAGATTTTAAAATAACTTCATTCAAAATATATTTTGAATGTGTGTGTGTGTGTATATATATATATATATATATATATATATTTCCTTCAAAACAAACCCTTTTAGTATCTTTTGCAAAAAAAGTAATAAATGAATAGTAAAAGAATCTTTTAAAATTATACTCACTCAAGACGGTTGTAGAAAACACAAAACATGTAATGTTATTGTTATTTTAAAACAGATAAATTGATTAGACTCATTCTCAACATGCATGGTGCAGAGATGTCGATGTGTTGAGGATGTTGACAATTTTGATATAAGATATGACACAGACATACTCAGGATTATAGTACTATAATTCAAGATAAACAAACTAAAAGTTGAATTACAATTATTTAAAACAAGAATTATGCAAATTATTTTATCTTTATGAAATTAAAAATTGTTGAGCACCAATCATATGGTAACATAGAAGTCATCAATATTATCATACAAAATAACCAATCTTATATTGTACACATATCTTCTAATAACAACAAACGTTCATCATTTTATTTGATTTATGCTAATCTAGAGAGTCAAGCTATTTTTTATTTTTAATCGATCAAATTCAGGTCGTAATTAAATTGTTTACAAAAGAAATACTTTTAAGCTTTTCTTATATACACATGTTGAATGTTAAACTTGCAAAGTACATTAAACATGACTAAAGCATTGAATTAATGTCGAATTTAAAATATATATATATATATATATATATATATATAAACAAGCAATAGTTGTATCTACAACCTTAACATATATGGTTTCACAAACTATCTTTTCTTCTTCGTTATTTTTCCCTTGTCAAAAATAGAATCCAGACATAGTTCTTCTCCTCTGTTTAAAAATACTTTTGGCATTATTTTATTTTTATCCATGGTTACAGTCTTCAAACGGGTTGACAAGTTAAATTCTTCAAAAAACATCGGTAACGTTGATTATTCAGAACCATCAGTAACCTTAAATTAAAAGTGATTAATACACATCGATTCTCGCATTTGCTTTTTCTCCACCTATTCCCCTACATCGGCATCCACTATGATGTGAGGCTTCTTACACTTCAACGCAAACTTGAAGGTCACCCACAAATTCATTTGTGGATGACAGCTTTAGCCTGCGTAGCTCCAGTCAGGCACGCTGCATCTCAAGCGCTACAAACCATGACTTCGTTAGACATGCCGTTCACACTGTTCTCCTTCTACTTCACACTAGACTGGCACGGCGAGAAATTTGACATTTGCAGATCAAACACATCGTTAGACTCTGGAATGAATCAGTTCATCAAAACCCACTACGGGAGGTGTGGCAGAGCAGGAGAACCAACCATCCGGCGGTTTCTAGATCGTCAGTATCAAACACGGTACAGATGTGCCGATGTATGCCTGTACAAGTGTGTCCAAGTAGTAGCGGCTTCTGAGGGCTATTTGTTCATTATATCAGATTTGTAGCATTTGGAATATGAAAGTTGACTGTTATCTCGTATAGCTGGGACATAACCTGTGGCATCTATTTCTGATGAAGGGAAATATACTGTAAATTGAGCGTAATTCTGGTTATGATACAAAGTAGATATTACATGAGACATACTACTGCCTATAGAGACATGATCAGTAGGGAATGACACAGAGCAAGTGGCGGACCGTGCACTGGCACGCTGAATTTGACAAAATCTCATATGCCCGTATTCTTTGTCAACTAAGCAACTGGATTCTGAATGTGAGTGATGTCTATTGTACAAGGGCCGGATGAAACCATCAAACAGGAATGTCCAGGCTCGACGCCGTCGTCATGGCTGCGGCAAATTCAGGAAAACTAATTCTCCCATCGCCGTCTATATCGGCCTCCCGGATCATGGTCCATAGCTCCTTCACAGACAACGTCTGCCCGAGCTTCGCCATCGAATGAGCAAGCTCTGCTGCCGTAATAAACCCATTTCCATCCCGATCAAACGCCCGAAACACTGTCAATAGCTCCTTGTCATTGTACGCCACCGTCTTCACCAATTCCGGTCCCATTAACGCGACAAATTCCGCAAACTCAATCATCCCATTCGAGTTCGTGTCCGCCCGCCGCAGCAACGAATCCAGCTGATACCCCTCCGGCTTCAACCCCAGGCTCCGCAGCATCAAACCGAGCTCTAGTTCCGTAATGCTCCCATCCTGATCTCTATCAAACCGCGAGAAAATCTCCCTAAGCTCCGCTAACTGCTCCTTGCAGAGTGACACTCCTCCGACCACATACTCCTTCTCAACTGCCGCCGCCATCACCACCATCGCACCAGCCTCCTCTACCTCGACTGCACTCGCCCTACCACCTTTCCTCGAACTCAACTCTCGTTCCAACCTATTCGATTCCATCACCAACCCAATGCTCCAACTTAAGGCGGCGAAACGTCCGATCGGCCACGAATCTGATTCGATCCCTTCGATTCCAGTCAGTCAGTCACCACCCCCGATCTGCTTTCAGTGCGTGGAGGGAGTGGCTCTCGCCGTAGTCGGCGTCCAAAGCGCGTGCGAAGCTGAGGACCATTAACGCCCCAACTCACACCCGATTCGCAAAAATCTCGGTTGAGTCTTCGACGAGCACACTCGGCAGAATTCAATGCCGATCACTGGACAATATCATCGATCTAATAATGATCTATAGGATCTTAATTGGGGCGATATTTGTCAACGAGCACGGCATCTCGGCGCCCAGACTCGAGACGTGGCCCAGAGATTGCGCGGTTGTGGGACCCGACGGTGCTGACGCCGCCGCCGCAGCCCTGGAACCCATCACCGCGTCGGAGCCCTTAATCGTGCGGCTCCGGTTCCATCGCGGAACCTTTGCTGACTCGTTTAAGGGAACACGGTGACATGGTACCCCGTGTTTGCTTGTTTTAATGCCTACGTGTATCGAAAGAGTGTCTATTACCGTGTGAATGGGTTGTAATTTCTAATTGCAACAAATCACCAAAGTGTCTTGTCATTACTCACACTCGTAATCTGTATTGATCACTGATTTTATTTTTATTTTTTATAATTTGGGTTCTTTTTTGTTTATGTTTTTAACTTCAACCAGGAAAACCGACCTTTTGTATTGTTAATAAGTGTTTGTGCTGTGTAATTTGGAGTTACGCATGCATATTGAGAGATGTTGAAATTGTAGAATAAGTGAGAATATATTATGAAAAGATGGATTTGATTTTACATATTATCACATTGCAACTGAAATGAATTTAGAAAACATTTTGAAATAATCATAGTAAGAATAACAAATTAGATTTATTCGTTCATGAACAAATTGTGGGTGAGTTCAGCAAGGAATCGATTCGGATGATATCCACCACAAAATGTCGGTTGAATGAAAAAACGAGACCCAGAGAACTCACCGACATCCTGAGTTTCTTGTCGGTACATGTGCATGTAAGTGCGTGTGGATGTACTTATGGTGAAGTACAAATTTTACATGAATTTGTTGTCATCCCCATGTAGGTATTGTACTGATTAGTGATGTTTTGGAACATTCGAAATAATAACAGTTCTGTTCGATCACTCTTTGATGGAAAGTTGCTAAAACCTTGTTTACACTTTTCGATGACTTGCACTAAAAATTACATATGAAAGCATGAGCCATCTGAGACAATGTATAACTAAAAAGATTACCCGAGTAAATTTTAACTGTAGATTTCCTCCCCTCGTCGCTAACCAATTTAAACGTGGATGCGGGTGGAGTTGCAATAGTTTTGCAGGACTGTAATGCATGTTCAAAGCTTCATCCATTGATAACTTCTTTGGAAAGATAGAATGGTCTCTGCTTCTGTACGGGGTTTAAATTTTTTAAGTATAAATGATAATAGAACTCCATCTAGATGATAGTTGTCAACAATGACTGCTGTTTAAAACTCCTGAAAGTCTGGATCGGAGTCAGTAAAATTTGTATTCTGGAAAAACTTTCTAACTTCTCTTCAGGGACTCAAAATCCGTGAGACACATTCTCTATGAGATTCTTTTCAAAATGAATTCGTGTAATATTTGACAACTAGTTAAATTTTTTTGCACATGAATAAACCCATACACCTCGGTGTCGCGACAACATCTAATCTCAACCTTACAAGCATATTAGGTTTGACTACATGTGCAGTGACAAAGAATTGTGGTTGAGTGAATTTAAAGTCAGCAGCATATCCATGTTTTGACCAACTACGAGTAAAATATACATACCACGGGAACATAAATTGGTCGGTAAAGTTGCGCGTAAATAAAAGAAGTAGGAACAGTATTCAGTGTTTTCAACCCTAATTTACTAGGAGGAGCGGGCATGTTATTCTAAATCGGGGATCAAACAATCAGAGTTAGGTCAGGTCACTCAGCATTGATTGTGGAGCGTGCTGCACAGTACACAAAAAAGAACTCCCAAACAGGCAGTCTAAAGCCTATTAGAATCAGTCTAAAATCAAGCCGGATCTGCACTTGGGTGATAATCACTATCGAGACAAGAGTGCACACGATGAAAGGTAGTTTGTAGGGGGATACTGGAAATTTTCCTGATCCATATGGGACGGTTGCAGCAACAGATAATGCCAACACTGGGAAAGTGCAAGCCTGAAATCCAGGAGTTCGTGGCCCCAATCGCCTGATAAAATATTGCGTGAGGCACCGTGCTATATTCGCACCGAGGCGACAGAAGGCAGTCAATGAAGAAGAATAACCTTCGCATATTAAATTTCACTAGGTGAGAGAACCCTAATGTTAGAGTGTACATTTCTCCGCGATCTGCAACCTTAAGTAAAAAAGAACAGAAACAGGTATTATAGAAAAGTGGATGGAACAGTGCTTTAGACTTTCTTGCTCAAGAGCTCGGAGTCCACGACACTATCTGGCTCTGGTCCAGACACTCAATTCTTTTTTGTTGAATAGGAGACAGCCTACCAACTTCCTTTACAACACATGTAGCCTTCTGAATATCAGTTCATTTCTTGGCGCCAAGTAATTGATGGCCCCATCAAGTGCCGAAGAAACGGCGATATCCACCTTAAAGAATGATCTCTATGGACGGCGAGATTTGTTGACGTGAGCACCTACACAAAATTCAGCTCTAAAAAGTCAAATTTGATACTTCAAGCTTTCATACTTCCAGGAGCATACGAGAAGATTTGCCTGGGTTTCCGTTAATTTAGGGCCATTGCATTCCGATTTCAGCACTCAGCAAATAGTCACCATTGGATATGTGCATGAAGCAAATGAACGTGTTTTTTTTAGGAGGAAAATGAGACAAGAACAGCACCCCGCTGGTGAGTCTATCTTCTATGTTAGTAATCAGGACAGAATGCAAACTACATTTAATATCACCTGGACACGATTAATAAACTCAGGCCGAAAAAAATTTACTGGCTAAACTATTCATTAATCTAGTTGATTTCCGTGAATAATTTTAAGTATGCAGGCTACGACGAAATTTGGAGGCTTGTTATGGCGCTCTCTACGGATTCCAGTGCATTGCTCGGTTCATTAGCTCCGTAAGCAAAGACATGATGGGGAAGCACAAGTTCCACCTGAGAAGATAGCAGGTACGACACGATGTCCAAGCTCAAATCAATAATTTCGAGTGAGTGTAAAATACCGTGTCCAGCTTTCAGAGTGACCAGCTGAGAGTTGTAAATCAAGACACTAGCACAACGGCCTACAAGGTCAGCTCGAACGGAGAGGTCCATTGCAAATCTCTCTCGACTCCGATTCAAATACTGGTACTCCGGATATTCAAAGCAATGAATTAAGAGGCATCTACATTCGGTGAAAGCTAAGATGATTCTAAGACGCATCTATTCAAGCCAGAGGTTCTTTATCTAATGATGACTTCAACATAACACATTCAGAAATGCATCTAGCTAGGTCCAATTCATGCAGCGCCAATTCTGACAGTTACGGCGCTTTGCAGCGATTATTACAATGACGAGCTCAATGATTGATATGTTTGTTTGCGGTTTTCAAGAATCTAATAGAGCAGTTTATGTCCACCACAAACTGAAAACCTACGTTTTATCGTGCGTGAAAAGACATCAAAGCTATTGAGGCACTTCATGACTTAACCACGGCAACTTCAATAAGCACAGCACCTTCAGCACCAGAAGTTTAACTATCACCCAATTCGTGCCCAGAGACCATGTATGACTTGCTATTCATGTGATCTCAAACCTCTAAACCTTAAAGCTTCATTCATATATACACAACAGGATAAATCAATTGCTGACGACAACTTCTAATGACAGTTTAAGATGCTTACTTACATCTCTCTCACCCTCAGTCTCACTTTCTCCGACACGAAAACAAGAGCTAACTCTCAAGATGATTCACCGAGTAAAAATATGTTCATTAAAAAAACACATAAAGTTCGTGCGAAACATCATTTTCATACTCACCTAAACCTCCAAATTCGAACAACGTGACAATGAGAAAGCTTGTGCATTGAATGCTATGAACGATGAGCGAAACCAAAGTGGTAGGCGAGTTCAACATTGACATCAGACAGACAGACAGACACGCAGACAGACCGTGAGACTAGGTCGTCTATGAATTCCTGGTGCCGCAGCTTCGGTTCGCAGTGCCGCCGTCTCCTTCCAAAAATCGCAAATGAAGCAACCCTCGAGCACATTTCGCTTCAATGGTCTTCCGCCAGAGGCCACGCCCATCGCCATAGCTCCTCATCTCTCCACTACCTCACTGCAAGGGCGTCATCGTCCACACCGTCCCCCAAGCAACACAAAGCCACATTCATTGAAACCATGAAGGACAATTTTCATCCATGTTTTTCATTCATGTGTTGCATCCACTGTGTTTCATCTTTGTCATTCCCCTATATTATTTCATCCGTATTCTTCATCTATCTCTTCATCCAGACCAGGAGGAACTGAATGGATCGAGTGAGACAGTTCTGGAATGATATTGGCATTACATGGTCGTTTTTCAGTTATAACATAATTTGATTTTTATTCGTAACTTCTAAAATTGACTAATGTGAAACTTTCATCTTTTTCTTCCACAAAATGGATATTTGAAATTATTTATTTTGCAAACTCGTTATTCTTATTAATGATTTTCTGAATTACTGGAAAAAATATATTTATTTTAAGACCTCGATTTGATTACAATTTGATATTTAAATTAAATGGTTGTAGAAAAATATACACGAGCAAAATTTTGGTTGAGACATCACATTAAAGATAATATTTGGAAATAGAGTAGTTTTACAAGAAAGTGCTTGTAGACCTTTAAAATTGGAAACCAATAATTCTCACAAAATCCTATTCATGGACAAAAATATAATTTTTGATATATAGACATTGAAATTCTTTAAGATGGTTAGTGTGTAAAAGCATTCATTACTATGCTCATGACTATGTGCTAACCAATACCAATAAAACAAGATTTTCCATTGTGTACTAGTTTTGATATATTTCTTGTATAAAACAATTAAATAAATAAACCAATGGGATAAACAAGAGGAGATAGAAATCATCTTTGATTGGTTGTACATCTCATTATTTTCATCAAAAGTGAAGCAACAACTCAACTTTTGATCAATCGGAGATTAAAATCCACATGTTATTGCTACAAAGAGTAGTAGTGTGAGATCACAGATGTAGAACTCAGAAGGTCCCAACTAAGGTTGTGAAAAGCAAAGCTACTTTTATGGTTGTAGTAGATTCTATCCGATAACATTTGTGACATTAAGTTTTTGAGAGAGAATTGTTTGGATATTGATTAGAAAGAATATGGTTGGATGTTTGGTGTTAGTGTAAGAGTGAGGATGGGTTGCAAGAGCAAAGATGGATGATTGATGTAAAGATGGCGAATTGGAGCTTAGATGTTGTGAAGGAAGAGGAGTGTAGAAATTAAGAGTGCATGGAATTAGATAAAGCGCGTGGCTATGGCTTGCAAGTGCAGTTGTTGTACCAAGTGTTGTACCTTGGCATTTCTTGTGTGCCCCATATTGCCTATGCTGATGTAGGATCTCCTGAGATTATGCATTGGAATGATGTTCAACTGCACCAACATAGAGTGATGGTTGGGACTTGGGCACTAACATGCACTGCAACTAATAAGAGTCTCAAGGTTTTGTGACAATGGCACAGATTCAGCTAATGTATATACATATTGTGTATGACTATGTATTTATGTTTGATTGACCATGAGAAATTTTAACAAGTGATATTAATTATCAGTTGTTGCACATTATTCATTTTAAATTCATATTTGAGACATTTTTTATTCCCAACTGAAAGACGGACCTATATTGGTTGATTGACTATATTACTCATTGATATGTCTGCCACTTCTGTACTTGAAAATGTAACAATAGTTGTTGCATTTGTTTCATGGAACTACTGTTATGCCAATTCAGACATGTGTCTTTTATTAGCCATTCACTTGTTAATATCTTCAACAAAGTTTGGAGTACAAGATTATTCTTATTTAATACATTTACTTTTAATGGCCAATTATAGTCAGTTGTGTCTACTGTGCAGCACATGATCTTTTTATTAGTGATACAATGGCTGTATCTTTATTTAGCCATGCATTTACTGATTCAAATGATGGAATGTGCATGATGGAATGATGGGTTTATTATAGCATGCATCAATTATCTCAATTCTTATTTGCATGATGTGTTGTGCCTACATTTGACATCTGGTTCTTTGTTTAAAAAAAAAAACTACTACTTTGCATTTCTTGAAATATGTGAAGGTCAACAATTTTTCACAATAAAAAAACTTGAATGCTTGTTCTTATTTGTATGTGATTTGGTATAAAATGATGCAATTATAAGTTTGTTATTTAACAACTGGATAATGGCAATCTCTAAACACATTGCAGGTGCAGTTGCAATACAGCAATAACCAGATTCTTAGGCTAAAATTACTCCTGATTTTATTATTTCCAGTAAACTTCTTTAGATGAAGAAATGAATAAATATTGTATTTGTACAAAAACATATTTGTTGGTTGAGTCTAGTTGTTTATTCATTTTAATTCTATTAGATCCACTTCAACTTTATAAAGTTATACCAACTATTTGAAATCTGCTTTGAAAACAGTATTCTGGATTTCAGTCTCATGTCAAATTACTGAATTTTGCAAGAATAATTACATATATATATATATATATATATATAAATATATAAATACTCATTCACCCAAACTGATTATTCGTTTGGTGTTTCAATTAGACAACTTACATCTTTAAAAAAAAATAACAATAAAATAGTTGCACTGCAATTCAACGAGATAAGTGTGTTGTGAATAAAAATGTTTTAGCATAATAAGTAATGATATTCACTTTAAAATGTTAATTTTTTACTTTCTAACAATTCATAGTTATATATAATGTGTTGCTAATGCCACCAAAAATTTGCTACTACTGCTACAAATTTTATTTTCTAAATACCAACATTATTTTGTTCTCTGAATACCAACATGGTATAATTAAAGTATTCAAATTACACTTCAATCACCAAGCATTCTGATGGAAGAGGTGATCTAATTTGTGAAGATTGGGGTAGTGGATGCAACTATGAACAACTTGACTTATGATTTGAGAGGCAAATGGATGTATTAAATGGCAAATCAGTCAAATGTTACTTCTACATGTTAATGCGAGTGCTCTAACTCACATGTATCACATCAATATTATTTTGTATTATGCAGTAAGTTGCATTCATTGAATTATTTAATTTATAATATTTATAATTCAATTCACTTACAAAAATTGTTTAATATTTCCTTATAAAACTTAATGTTGATAATCAATAATTGTTTTTGTAAAATTCTACTTAGTTTCAATTTTACATCTTGGATTGTAATTAGACTTGTTTAATTGAAATTATGCTGTATTTTATTTGATTGTTTGAATAAGATCTCAACATGTATCAAATTTTATTTGAATAGATTCACAGAGCATAGTATAACATACTTTAGTTTGAATTATTATTTTAAAGTTCATAATATTTCTCCATATTTTATCGATATCTTTAACATTACATTAGTTTTTTAAAAAATCTAATATATATATATATATATATATATCTGTTAAATTTTACTCCGCATTCCTTCTTTTTTATTTTTTTTAATATCACACACCATTTCAGAAAAAAAGAATGATTTTATTTAAAAGGCTTGGTATTAAAAAACAGCTTACACTAAGAACTGATAATAAAACACCTCCCAATAAAACTTGTTCAATACTAGTACTATGTGTTCTTAAAAAAATATACAAGTTCCAATTTTGTCAAAATGAAAATAACTATGTGGTCATGAAATTTGACATTCAAGACTATATCTATTCAGGTGTAACCAATTTAACTAAACTAATTCAGCTGAAATGAACTCATATCAACCCAGATTACACAAAACAGTTTTTATGTTTTATTTTTTAGAACCCACTTAAATATTTTTCTATGATTTTATCATCGAATAAAAGTCCTCAAGAATCACTTCAAAATCTCACTCATATTTTTCAACACAAAAATATATACAATCTGAAAAGTGATAATTATTTCAAGATGGTCAAGGAACTCCCATTTTTCTATTAATAACAACACATGAAAGGGAGATCCCGGGATTCAACGTGCCGGGACGGGCCGTCATCAGTGCAGCCGTAACCCGGCCTGGTCCCACTGGGACGGGTAAACGAGGACAGGCCGGGCCGGGTGGTTTGGGCCAAAGCCCGGCCCGGCCCGACCCAGAGCGGGCAGAGCGAGAGTGGAGCAGGAGGAAGCAGGGAAGGGGGATGGAGCGTGTGGGTGGAGGAGCACATTCTAGGGTAGTAGCGAGACGAGGAGGGAGGAGGAAGTGGATCGGGGGCACTATAATCTGGTTTCGGAGACCATGCTACGGCACAGGAGCGGAGGGTTTATGGCGCTGCATCAATTTTCATCGCCACTTTGGGAAGGAGACACTACCAGGATTTTTTTAGAGCGGTACCGGGAGTTATGAGGTGGATTTACGGGAGGAGCTTGAGGAAACGGAGCCACATCGGGAGCCTAGGGTTTTGAGTTCACGGGGTTTTGGAGGCACGAATTTGAGTGAGTAGCGCTACTTTTCGGCACCGTAATGTGATGCATTGGTTGGCTGAAGGTGGATTCTCTTAGGAGGTTAAAGTTTCCAAAATCCTGCTCAGGGAGAGTGGAGGGTGAATGAAGCAAATGGCGATGGTTGACGTTGCCTCTAGATTTTCATGCTACAATGTGCATTCCGCCGAAGTCTACAGTAAAAAGGGGCATTTCTTTAGGTTAATTGCAGTTGAGGGATGTCTGAGTGGCAGTGCTGAGTGATTGGGCGGGGGCTCACGTGCTTGCGTTTCATCGGTGTGGCTCTAGTTGAATGCGGGCGAATTGGTGATTGATACGGTGGTAGGAGAGGGTTTAGAGTAGTGTTAAGGTTAACGTTGCGTTGTCCATTATGGTTAAGCATTTTGGGAGAGCCGATAATGAAAGAGAGAGGGAGTGCTAAATTTTGTCGAATGAATGGAGGAATTTTGTTGAGTTACTATGAAAGAATTCGATTGCGGGAGCAAGTTTAGCAAGAGATAACGATGTAAAGTATGGAGATGCTTTTGGTGCGGGCCACTAGTTCTAGGAGGTTTGGCTTTGAAATTCTATCTCGTCTTTTGTTGCGCACCTAGCTACCAAGGGCTACGCGCGCGCGTGCGCGCGTGTGTGAAATATTAGGAAATTAGACATGATATGACCTGTATATTAAGTCCGGGTGACAGTTCAAGTACTAGGTTAAGCTTTCGCTGCTCAATCCGACGACTATGTTCATTCTGGCGACGGGGCAAAGATCTAAAGACGTTGTATTGCAATAAAGTCCGTTCTTCAAGGTTTAAATCCTCAAATCTGGGTTCTTTTTGGTGGTAATGGGGTGAAGGGGGGGGGTGGGGCATACAATAAAAGGATGTACACGTAGAAATATTCCTGCCCTTTGAAAATATTACATTCGAAGGTTGTATTTTGTTCACAAGCTAGGTGAAAACTTGTCTCAATATGTTATTCGACATACAGAAGTCGCGCGGAGAGATTGTACTAGGGCACATTCGAATCATTTCCAGTGAAATACTTTGTAAATATTCCTTGGTGAATATGTACATAGGAAATAAATTATATCTGATGGAGAGGATCGTAAGGGATAGTGGAGATGATTTTGTGCAACCCCACTCGATTATCCTTATAAGGTTAAGGAGCGTGGTATTTGTGCAAGTGCATAACTTATGGTACTCGATGCAGTATATTTATATTATCGGTATCGTATGAGGCCTAGGTCTGAATGCTATAGACCTTAGTACGGGCCCTTGCGTTTATGCTTGCAGCAATTCTTATTAGACCCTCAATATGTGAGAGGATACCTTCTGTTGAGTGGAAGTAGTCGTCTTAGTGGACTGCTATTTGTCAGTTTGTGCAAGTTCGTTTAGATAAATCGTGCATTTCGTCTATCAGGTTTCTCATGGGATATATTAATGTACACCGTGGTTGGGATAGAAGCTCTCGTCAGTAAAAGGGAGACATTCAAGTGGTTGAAATTGGAAGTCGTTACAGTGTTTCTGTTTCGAAACTTGAGTCTTCTTATTCTGTTTAAGATTTGTTACATGAATAAGATTTTATTCTGTTTTGAAACTCCAGTTTTATGTGAAGAATAGAGGATTTCCTCTGTCCATCTTTCTGTGTCGTTGAAACTATGAAGTTCCGCTGGGTATTTTCAGTTGTGTATTCCGTCTTTTGCGTAATCCGTGGACACCTTTTTTAATGTGTTTGTTTTCTGTATGTAGTTCATTTATTTCTGTTTATGAGACCTAAATTGGCATTTTGTTCGTGCTCAGATTTAAGATGGTGAAGTTCTAGTTCCTAAGTTATTCAAGTTTGATATGGACAAGGAAGTCAAGGAGGTCTTACAGTCCCAAGTTATTGCATTGAAAGAGGGAAAGATGGAGGCAAGCCTGCAGTGTTTGTCCCCGTTGGTTCAGCCCGCACCTCGTTATGAATCCTCGTCTGACAGAGTTCATTTACCAGCTACAATGCATTCAGTGATGGCCGAGACCACAAACGATGTAAGAATTCTGGAAATTACTTTTGAAAATCAAAGTTTTATCATTTATTTATTATATTTTGATAAAACCAACAACCTATCTTTGTGGTCCTGCAACTCTGAAGTATCTTGAATTTTCTTTTCTTGACATGAATCCACCTTTTCAGCTATGCATACAATATGTTTTTCTCCTTACCAATGGCTTATTATGTTCTTGTTGATTGGTTCAAACCATGTCGGTGATTGTTGATCGGTTCTTTGCCGTTTAATTTGTTTATTTATTATTATTGTTCTTTGAGAACTACAGGCAGAAGATCGATTTACAAGGCCCAGATCGGCATCTTTCGCAAGTTCAGTGCAGCCCAAGTCTGCAAATATAACAAGGTGAGTGTGGGTTGCATGATACGAGGGTGTATTTTAAAGTGTTGTTTTGGTCGCAGTATGAATGGTGGAACATTAACTTGCTCCTCTCTTCTTTTTACTTTTTATTTTTAATTTTTTTTATTTCTTAAATTTTATTTTTTACACCCTCCTCTCCCTCTTTTAGTTCATGGATGTGGACGTGCGACGGGCTGTTGTCAGTCTTGTCAGGTTGCCATGAAGAACCAGGCCGTATGCAGCCTATATGATCAGATATGATGCTGCAACTCTTGAAATCGGGGCATGAAACTTCGGATGCTTTTGTGTGTAGCTTTTTTACAGCGATTTAGCGTGTTTCTTCATTGCAGGACTGAACCTCCGATTGATAGGAAAACGATCAGGCATATGTAAGTACATGTTCTTCATACTAACAAGGCTTCAGCATCACCATCATTCAAAAATAAAATAAAATAAAGAACACTAAAAGAAAAGACGACCGAAAAACCTCTCTCTCTCTCTCTCTCTCTCTCTCTCTCTCTTACACACACACACACATAAAAGTAACCAACATAAGTTGGAAAACGTTTCGTGAGTGCAAGTTATGTGTTTTAAGCATGCCATGGGACCTGTTTTTGTTACCAGTTTCAGAGTAAAATTTTGAGCGTCAGATTTATCATACTAAAGTGGATTGGTACATGCAGAGGTCGCTTTGAGGTCCGGAGAGGTAGGTTCGACAATTGGGATGACCATGATGGTGAAAATTTGAGTTGGCTTAGTTCTACACGGGATCTTCGAAATTCAGATGAGGCACGTAGGGGGAAGGATGATCGAGTTCTGGGAAGAAGCGATGATATAGATAGGAAGGAAGAAAGAGGACTGAGACGTCTGGACGAGAGATCAGAACGAGATGAAATGCGTCGCGTTAGGAGTGATGTGTTTGGTGAAGTATCGTCAGTTCGTGGGCTCACCATTATGGATGAGCAAGAACGAGACAGGTGAGTTGCACTTCTCTATCATGTCTTATACATGTAAAGCTCAATCAACTGGTGAGGTCCTGTTATAGTGAATGGTTTTATCCTCTATCTCAACATTCTTCTTTGGTCTCTTTTGATGAATCGCAGAATTGTTTTGGTGCTTCATGCATTGACAATGCTTTCTTTTCATAGAGATTGTTCAGCAGAAAAATTGATATATCTTTTTTGTTGGCAGTCATTGCCTACACAATACATATGAACATTCTAGTTCAACAAAGACGTGATTTTTTGAGATGATATGATTTTCGAGTTTCTAAGTGATCTTCAGGTATACCTGAATGTGGGATTTGGGTGTACCTGGCTCTGATGTCACAACTTGAACTGGAATTTGCGCTGAGCAGTTAGGAGTATTAATTTTTACATGCTTTATCCACACTTCGCCTCCTCAATATATGCACACGCTTTTGTACGATTTCACTATTGAGGACCGATTACGCACACAAGAGCTTATCGTTGGAGATTTACATATAGATGAGTTATGCTTTGTTCATTGTTTATATTGCTGTGAGTAGGGACAGAGAATATCGTCAAGATGGAGGTAGCGGTGAAGGTGTCGGCCGCATGATGCAACGTAAGCCATCCTTCAGCGGACCCATGGCACAATTCGGCAGTGGTAAGGGTTGGGGTGTGGGCGACAAGAAGTCAGAGTTAAGTAGATTTGAAAGGTATGGCACTGGGAACCGAGATGGTTCCCGAGCAGAGTATGAAGGCAATAGTAGGGATTTAGGTTTCCCCTATGGATGGCGTCGGGAAAGAAGTCAATCAAGTGCTATAGCAAGACACTCTAGTTTTACATCAGGAAATAGGAGTTTTGGAGAGCATGGGGGTAAAGGCTCTTTGTCAGTAAGTTCTGGACATGACTCTCCTTTCGTCACCGGTCTGTCTTCCAACCAGGATTCTGATCATCCGTCTCCATCTAAGCGTCCACGCCTTGGTTGGGGTCAAGGCTTGGCAAAATATGAGAAGAAAGTTGGAGATACCGAAGATGTGTCTCCTTCAGTCGTAAGATTTGATTCTAAAAAGGATGGAGATGGCGAAATTCACTCGAACGCTGAAGAAGTTAAGAAGGGGAATGTGTCACACGAAAAGCTCCCAGAGGCAACTCCTAGCGGGGTAAGTTCCTCAGACTTACAGAAACCGTGTCCTATGGTAGGGATTCAACCCGAGGATGGGGAGGGCTTCAGTGATGGCCTTGAGAAGCGAGAGAAGAACGAGAACAAGTCTTTTCTGTGGCGAGACCATGTTAGGCGAGAGGAAAGTGGAGAAAATTCAAACTCGTGCGCTTTGTTGGGAATTATTCCAAGAATAGGAGATGTAAAGAACCCTGTTGTGACTGAGGAAATGCAAAGACTGGAACAAATTCCTGCATCACCTGTTCGGATGAAGGATTCTGCAAATAGTACGGAGGAACAAAAAAACGAGAGTAAATGTCCACTTTCTAATGGTATAGAAGAGCCAGAGTTGAACGGCCTTGATCCTGTATCACATGTCTTAGTGGAAGACAGTGAGAGTAGAGAAAAAAATGATGAGGTGACAGCATCAGAGCTGCAAGAAAGCGAGTCATTGGGAAGGAAGAACCAAAGCCTTGTGCCATCTGTCTCAAAGGTAGAGTGGGATTTCAAGTGCTCTGCGCATGCTAAAACAACTGAGGTTTTAGGGGATAGTCACCAGACCGGTATGTTATTTACAGAGACGCTTCCTCGTTCTGTTGATACTGTTATACGTCCTTCCTGTTCTGAGTTGTCACTGACTTTAGTGCCTGTTAGATTAAACAAATCATCAATCTGTTCTGAAAAAGATACTATCAGCACAGTCGCTCTTAGCAGACGTACAGATGGTGAAGATGAAACGATTTTATCAAGAGAATCTGTTCCGATCCCTATTCAAGAGAAGGCAATTGAGTTAATGCCTGAATGTGTTGTACCCGAATCAGTGAATATCGGTGAGAAGATAAAAGTCGAAGGTGTGCTGGAATTGGAGCCTGCTAGGAAACTATCAAAATCAATGGACTTAGATGAGGACGAGGACGTTAGAGGCGTGCCACTTGAATCAGCTGATTTGAACATAGACGAGGGCGTCGTAGTAGTGTCGAGCAGAAGCTCGCCGTTGAGTGCTGTTTCAGAAAAATCTAGTTATTACGAGGAGCAGTCTGACTATGAGGTGGCTACAGGTGGCAGTTCACTACAGGAGCATAGTCTATCGATGGAAGAGTCTCTTATGATGGAGAACAAAGAGAATGCTCGTTTGGCTGGAGCTTCCTTCTTACACCTTCTTCCAGAAAATCTTAAAAGAGAACCCTACCAGCAGTTGTACGACTCTCCTACCGAAGCACTTGTTTGGCAACACAATGTGGAAACTCATAAGAAGATAGAGGATATGTTGCTGAAGAAAATTTCTGAGAAGCATCACTTCCACAAATTCAAAGAACGTATTTTAACCTTAAGGTTTATAGCTCTCAAGGAGGCATGGAAGCAAGAACAAAAAGGTCTTTCTGGCTTAAGGAATCGTCCCAAATCAGTTAGCAGATGGGATAATGAGGGACGTAGTAGTCATGGACCTCCAAGTCAACGGTTTTCTTTGCGATTGCGTCCTCCCAGTAAGAATCACATTTGGCATTCGACAATTTAACAAATGAAATGTTATTCCTTTGTTTACTATTCAAATACTTATCCTACTTGAATTCATGTATTGTATCTTTGCTCGAATCTAATAAACCGTATCCATGATAGGTATGAACAGGCTTGATTCTGAATCGGATGCCGCGAAAGCGATGAAGAAGTTGATGAAAGAACCTCGGGTGGAAGCGCTACGTCCAGTTTTAAAAATGCCAGCCATGATCTTGGATGAGAAAGAGCGGGCTTCTCGTAGGTTTGTGAGTAGGAATGCACTTGTGGAGGACCCTGTTACTGTGGAGATGGAGCGTAAGACTCTCAATCCGTGGACAGAAGTGGAGAAGAAGATCTTTGTTGAAAAGTTTGCGCTTCACTACAAAAACTTCAAAGAGATCGCCTCGCACCTACAGTATAAGACCACAGCTGATTGTATCGAATATTACTACCGGAATCAAAAATCAGAATCCTTCTCAAAGTCTAAGGAAGGTGGGCACTCAAAATCTCTGGGCGACCGCACGAAACCAAGTACATTTCTTACACCCACTGCGGTAGCGATCAAGCGGAATCTCAAAGCAAATTGTGCTACAGTCGAGGCTTTGAACGTAGCCACTATGAACATGAAAGTGTCGCAGCTTAGTAGCCAAGTCTCAGAGCATGCAAAGACTATGACATCTTCAAATCATTCTTTGTCGATGCCGGCTGATGCGAAGATTCGAAAGTCGCATTTGAAAGAAAGTAAGGTGCTTGAAGTGATTCTTCCATCTGGGACCTCAGTTGAGACAGTTACGTCTAGTTTAATAAGTACTCCTTGCAGTGTTAGTTCTACTGCTGTTCCGTTAACAGATGAGTGCAAAGAGAAAGGCTTTGTGAAGGAGAGAGTAGGAAGAGGGCCTTCGGCGACTAGGAGTTCTCACTCAGAGCAACATCTTGCTGGACCGAAGAGTACACGGAGCACGTATCTACGACGCATGTCATCGAAGGCAGCCACACAAGAGGTTGGTTTTTACTATCTGCATTATATGAAGTCACGATCCATATTTAGTGTCGCATGTTAATTCTAAAGTCGTGGACTTAGCAGTAAGGAGATTTTGAGGTGCGAGTTCATGTTGTAGTCTAGTAATTCTAAGTCTTTTGTTTTTTTGTTTTTTTTTTTTCTAACATCTATATTGCTCGGGCTCTCACAGAATGCTAAGGGTCGTCTTCCAGTACCAAGTAAATTTTCATACAAATATAACTTCTGTGTATTTTTTACATTCTTTGCTTGTGATCTTTGGTGCAGGGTTCACAATGGACGGATGAAGAGAGAGAACTTTTCACCAGTGCTGTGGCTACACATGGGAAGGACTTCCGACTCATTGCTGCGCATGTCGGATCAAAAAGTCAGAGCCAATGTAAATCGTTCTTTAGTAAGACCAGGAAACGACTTGGTCTTGATGAATTGGTGGAACAGTTCCAAGCTAATGAAGCTGCAGCAATGTTAGTGCAAAGTTTTAGACACGACGCGGAATTGTTGCAAGAGGTGAAACAGATCAGTACTGCTCAGGTAAAGGTCAAGTTTTTCTCTTCTTCAATTTTATCAGGATATTAGATTCAATATTGCACTTTTTCCATGATATGAGTCTTACTTGTATTGATTCACATTTCTTGCTGCTCAAAATATTAGCTACGATATTATTGCTTAGTGTGATATTCAGTTATGCCTCAATGTTCTGAGAATTTTTTTAGACCCTGACATGGCAGAATGTGCAGATGGACGCTTCCGCTGGGGTTGTGGGTCACTCTGTGGATGAGCTCAGTGACACGGCAGCAGCTGTCAGCACTTTGGAGAGGCTCAAAGAGCAGTCAAAATGTTTTGCAAATGACATGTCAGATTTGAGCTTGGTTGCTGATGCAGCAGCAGCAATGGAAGAAATGTCGCTTATGAAGTCGGAAAGCCCATCACGAGATTTTTCAAATAACAAGCAGCTGCTAGAAATTGCGGAGCTTGCACATGAGCATTTAAAGGTTGAACCTTCGAATATTGCGGCGATAAGGCAAGAAGGAGAGGACGACAGTGAAACTACCAAGTCAGATGACAGCTGTCAGGTTGATACTCAGGCTGAAATTGACATTGTCGTGGATCAGGCAGCTGCTGCCTTGCTTGGAATGTCCGAAACATTAGTAGATAATTCGGGGTTGAAGAGAAGCAAGTCCGAGGCCAAGGTTGGTACTAGAACATCGCCTGTCAGCGTATTCTCTCGATCACAATCAGCCCGCTTATCAACCTCATCTCCTCCTTTACATGCTGTATTCGAGACAAACGTGTGTTTGACATCTGGGAGAAACTCACGACAGGCAAAGGAGAGGGTTAACTCTACAACATCATGCAAACCGACCACCAGGGATAGGCCTCAAGATATGCAGGATGCTCAAAGTGGTAGAAAAGGAAAAGACACGGGAGGTGGAGAGCCAAAGCTTCGGAGGGAGCCTACTTCATGGACGCAAGAGGAAAAGGAGAAGTTTGCTGTGATTTTACAAGAACATGGCAAAGATTGGACATTGCTGCACCAAAGTTTACCTTCAAAATCGTTGACTCAGATCAAGACATATTTCCAGAACTCTAAAGCTAGATCTAGGTTGCCTGCTGTAGTCAAGCTTATGAATGTGGTTCGGAGGGACGGTGGAAGTCGTAAGCGCAAGGCTGAGGGGTACGAGTCATCAAGGAAAGCTGCAGAATTGGGACCACCTTTTAAACAAAAGGTCCGAGCCAATGCGGCTTCTCATGAGTTCGATGATACTACTCAGGAGGAGGATAACTTATTTCGATCTGCGTCAGTTTCAGGAGGTACCGGTGTTGGGGTTGACATCCTTGCGTATGCAGCTCGCTTTGGTACTTATCCAGGTCAACCTATCAATCAGGATACTTTAAGTATGAATGGGATGCAGCACTTAGCTCGTCCAATGCCTACTTCAAACACTTACGTTCAGGTACTTCAAATTTGGCGCCAACCTTGAGTTTTTGTTCGTACTGGTATCCGTTAATCCTCTGTGCAAACTATAATCTTATTGTGTTCTAGTTTAGCAGGCAATCGCAATTTTGTATCTAAATCAACTACAAAAGTATAATAAAGCTAAGCCCGGCTCATGATTATGTCTTTCTTTGCAGGAAAGTAAACAGGATGGGCATCAAGCCTTTCGATCTGGAGCGAGACCCGTGTTACCAACACCATTGGGGATCCGTCCTCATGTTGGGGATGGTTTGCTACGCCAGCTTTCGAGTTCAGTTCCATCCAAGGCATGTAGTCCTGATCTCCAGGTACTATCTTCGAATGTGGGACCGCAAGCTGAGCCACCAGCCGCAATTCATCAGGTTGCTCAGCAAGTGCAACAGGTAAATCCGACACAAAACCTAATTTTTAATATTTAATTTTTTTTGTAGCTTTATCTTTATTGTTCTTGATTAAATGATGCAGACTTTCACAGCTGCTTTACAAATATTATCGTGGTCAGAACTAATGAGCGTGGGTAACTACTGCTAGGGATTGCCTTGAATAGTTTTAATTTTTGCTTCTTTCTCTGAAAGGGTGCCTAATGGGACTACATATTTTATCCTCCGTTGCTCGTGAGGATTAACCTGCGGCTTTACGTAGAATTCTAGAACATAGTCTTTAACATATGGAACAGTATATTTGGTTGTATCTTATGTATCATATACTGTTCTTTTATTGCAGATGCTCGCACAGCAGCAGCACCTTCAGAAGCAACTGGCACTTCTTATACAACAGCAAGCAGCTCTTCCGCAAGCACTGCTGCCGCAGCATCAACAAGCAACGGAGCAAACACTGCAAAGTGCACGGCCCCTTGAAGAGAAGGTAATTCTTTCAAAGGTGGATATATAAAACGCCTTGGCATTTCTTTCACTTAGAATGACACATAATTCCTCGAAGTAATGCTGACTAGCGCGCTTTAATTTGGAAACAGCTGCAACAAGTCGTTCAACAACTACAGCAGCAACAGGCTCTTGCACAGAGTCAGGAGGGGGAGATTCATAATCACATGCATTTCCAGTATCAACAGGCACCGCATGGACGGGGAATCTTGAAAGTGAAACCGATTCGAGAAGCCATTTCAAATCCTTTTGCAGATTTGGCAATTTTACCATCCCCTGATGTTTTGCAAAATCAGCACATTTCTCGAAATCAAGAAATCCAATTACAGCAGCAGGATCACTCTTTGTCACTAGGGATGAGAACAATTCCCTCAACGGCCGGTGGTAGCACAGCTGGACTCCATGAGAACCATTCCAAGACACTTGATCTACAGGATAGTGATACTGATACTGATACTGACTGTGAAGGTATGGGGAGTAAGCAGATGGTAGCGGAGGACTCACATCAGCGGATGAGTGTCGTACATTCAAGTTCTTCTGGTCAACAGCAAGGTGCAGCTCAGAGTACCACTTCGACATTATCAAGTGATTCTGAGCAAGTGAAATCTTGGGATGTGAAGTTATTTGGTCAATCTCTTCTATCCAAGCCAACAGCATTGCCCTCAACTATGCCACGCATAACAGGAAGCTCAATACAAGAATTTGTAAAGCCCAACATATCTTCTCCCGTGGCCACTGTGACATACCCTGCTGGATCCTTGTCAAAAGAGTTCAAGCCTTCTGAATCTCTTCCTTCTGCATTTGGGAGAGTTGGAGCTTCATCATCTGTTGCAGAAGGGCAGCCTACTTCGTGGGCAGGTATGTCCTCCCTGCTAGAAAAGTTGGGAGTGTATGGTGCGTGGAGTACAACAAGCAGCCTTCAGCTATCTGAAGTGACCGAACTTTCAAGGAAAGAACCTGATTCTGAAGGTACCCAAGATGCTGTTACATCTATGCCTACGATACCAGATCGTCAGCATACTGACAATCAAGACCTGGTATTGACATCTGAGCAGGGTCCACAAAGGGATGATGGACACCATGATGGTGAGAGGGAGTTGAGCGCTTGTCAATCGGAAACACGAGGCCGTGAAACTACAGTTGAAGAAACTCCGTTTCTCGGCAGAATTCAGAACTGTTCAAGTGAAAATGTAGTAAGCTTGGATGCAGGTCAATGTCAAATCGGGTTGGATTCAGCATTGCCAGCATCTCACATGAAGTCGTTTCCTACAGTTTCTGCAGAACCTGGACATTGGGGTGAGTGATTTTTCCAGATGAACTGTGATCGGGTTATTTCAAGATTAGGTTCAGCCAGCACTGTTTGGGTTTGCAAAACATGAATGTTGCAATGAATTACCCATTTATTGCACATTTCTTCGATAAGCGCTGGTGACAATCCTTTGTAAAAGGAGGCAAGGTTTCTCGAGCTGTGCTGAGAATTCTCATCACAAGCAGTCAGAATGGTACGAAACTGGGCATGTCTATTGTTCAAGGAAGACGTATTCAGGATGCGCATATGGACATCTGCATGTAACGGAATGAGCTCCCCAGGCAATGTGGATTGCAGTCGCAACTGCGGTGAAACTCTGAATCCTTGTATAGAAGTTCTTCAAGATGACAATGGAAGAAGTTTCATCTATGCAGTTGTCAAACCGATCTGTAGAGTTCAGGTAATGTCTGATTACCTATCCCTTTAAAGAACGGGAAAGTTGCAGACCATAGGGCTTTCAGCCTTGTTATTGATAGCATAGAGTGTTAGCGCATTAATTTCGTAGACGCACAAGAATGCAGATCTCCACTTTGTACAGGGCAACTACTCTTTGCCTTTGTATTATATTTTTTATATTCCCAAAAAGCATTCTCTACAATGCCTCAGTGAAAAAAGTTGGCCGCTTTCTGAAAAAAGAATTTTTCCAGTGTCGAGAAGTGAGCTTTTGTCATTCTGCAGACGTGTGGTTTTTCTTTTCTAACTAGATTCTTACTTAAGTGTGCCCGCAGTTAACTTAAATTTCAACAGCACTTACATCTTAACATCCCCGAGAATCTCTTTCAGAAAACCTCTTAAAAAAATGGTGGATTGTATTTTCTGCAAATATGAGTGAAACCTTGATAGGCATTCTTTCAATTCAATTTCTGATTTTAAATTTCACACCAGAGGATGGTCTTTAACCGTTACAATCTTGAGTAACTTCATGTGTGAACCAAAGAGAACGTGCTCCTATTTGTATATTTGATTCCTTTGTCATGGTTATGTATAATGATATATGTTTTTTTATCAAATTAATTGTATAGTACAAAGTAAGGTGCAATCTATCTTTTCACATGTTAGTTCCATGTGTAAAATTTATCTTAATCTGTATATTTTCTTTAAAATTTTACACGAAAAAGTTACATGTCGTATGTTGTTTGTATTTTACAGATTTTGGTATTAAAAAGTATAGTTGTTGATTTTTAATAGGATTCAAAGTGTATGAGTTTAAGATTTATGATTTCAATTCTAGCATTAGGGTATATTTTATTCTTATAGATTTTGGACACATGGTCAAAATCATTAAGACTAAATGTGAAGGATTATATGTTTAGAATGTGAAATATAAGGTATGGGATTTAAGACTTAACATATGGGATTTAAATTTTAGAGATTATGTTTTTGGTTGTGGATACAATACATATTATAGAAGCATTCTTTGTATTCTTCTTTTTAATTCTTAATTTCTATTTCATTAATTACTTTTGCATGGTTGTGGATTTCAAATAATATTTTTATATATATTTGAGTTTCATGAAATTTGGTCTAGTATTGTAAAGTCTAAGTAGGGTTTCATAATATGAATCAATTTGTTTACACAAATTTTTTCAGAAAAATAGTACCAAAATAAAAAAAAATCATTCAATCACACCAAGAACATTGATATGCAATTATGTAATGTGATGCATAGAGTGCATTATATTCAAACATTAAATAAAGGAAAATAATAAAGTGATCCAAACTTTTACTAAAGCGACCCATTTTATCTTCATCATCAATGCATCATTGTTGTAACAGGGCCTATATAGGATATTTATATTATTTGCATATAGAAATATGTAGGTGGAGTCGTTTTTGGAAAATTTCTAGAATTTAGGTTAAAGAGGTGGTTCATGTGGGATCCACCATAGAACCTTCTAAAAAGGCTTAAGGCGGTTATCTTCATGGGATCCACCATAGAACCTTCTAAAAAGGCTTAAGGCAGTTATCTTCGTGGGATCCACCATTAGGAATATTGTAGAAAGTTGCATAATAGTTAGACAAAGTACAGGACTGATTGAGGCCATATGAGAATTTGGTCAAGGATGGCTTTAGACTCTTTTTCTTTGTAAAGAGTTAAGGATATGAACTAGAAAATGATGCATAAACCAATGAAATCTGTGTCAAAGAAAAAGTGACAAAATAAAAATAAGGAAGTATGTATATTAAAAAAAAACTGGAATGGCTCATTGTCAAAAGATAAGAAAACTTAAGACTCTTGAAACTAGACTAGAAGCAAGAAAAGAATTGACAAGAGTGAAAAAAGCTTCACTCTTATCTCTATATATACTATCTAACTAAGGGCTATGTGACAATGTTCTATAGGACCTCCAATATGTGTTGACTTTGTAAGACACATGCCTTGACTTACAAGGCAAGTTTTTCTACATGTAAGCCACGTAGTTAGTTTGGTCTTCAAGCTAACAACATGTGTGGCACATGAGCAACTTGTTGACCACGTTTCTAATCCAAAAAGTCAATTAAAGACACCTATAAAATCAAAGCAGCATCTATAAAGCTTCTAGGAAGCTTCTATAGCAAATATTATAGAATTAACTTACTTTTACTTACTTTTACTTACTTTTACTTACTTTTACTTATTTATACATGTAATTATTGGCTTACATACATATGTCCGTGACATTACCCTCCCTTCTAGGAACAAGTTCCACGAGGAGTGGTCATCATATGTTGAAAAAATCTATGATGTGATGAATTGTATTTGTCACATATTCAAATCTTTGTTTTCTTCAAAGATGGTTGATAGGGCCTCTCAACCATCGATAGTATTCCATACCAGGGCGGAAAGACCACCATGTTATTTGATCATTGTTGAGACCTTCATAACTTCCTTCAAATAAAATATTTGGAACATTGTCAGGAATTATTCCTACCTCTAGTAAAATCATCAAACATTGGAAGTCCCTTCTAAGGTCGTGATACCAAATGCGTTAGATCTCGCTATCTATTCGAGGAAGAACATGTCATTCTTGAAGATCTTCATCTCGATTGCATCGTCTTGAAGGTTATGACAATCATAATATCTCATTCGATAGGTCAGCAAACAAAGGTTCTTGAGTCCAATCTGCTGGTTGTTAGTTCTCTATCTCCCTAGCGTTACAACTACAAAGAAGCTAGAAATAAAGATTGAAAGTAGAATGTTATCTTGCTTAGATTTTGTTTCTTTTATAAGGAAGGTTTTCATCTTGATTTTTATGGATGTTGTCGATGAAAAGCCTCCACCGCCTTTACTGTATTTGTAAGATTCTTTATTGGCTTCCATGTGCATTCACTAATATCATATCCACGCTAATAGACAAGATATTCTAATTTATTTTGGTGCCATTGTCGTATTACGTGCTTTCCTGCTCGAGAACGCACCGGGCGTCTGGCTGTAGGAGGTAGTATGGAGATTCGCTAATATTCAAATAGTCTATCAGTTTTTGACTGTTGGAATATAAATGATTACAAGAATATATCGTAAATCTATACGGATGTCCTTTGACTGCTCGTCAAAATCTTTTTTGCCCGAGTTGGTAGGTCTTTAGACGTTACAGAGAACCCCGAACAATCCAATCTGCTAATCTTCGATACCGCTTTATACTCACGACCTTGTATCCACTGACTGTCTTGTTAGATTAATCCAAAAATTTTCATTCACTCCGCATACTCAATCCTATAGACACCCTTTTAATTCTTCAATTACAGATGTAACTTCGATTTCACAAAACAGTCAAGAGTAATCACACCCACTTCATTAAAACCCCGATTCACCAGTACAACACATCGACCTTTCAGCATTGATCGCCAGAAGTCCCTTTTTTGACCCCTACCCAAAAACCTTGTATCCTCCCTTTTTCTTAACCTCCCTAATTCCCGAATCTTTAAATCCTCTCCTCCACCCTCACCATTTCCGAATGTTTTTTTCTCCCCTCCTCTCAAACCCTAACCATTTTTGAATGTTTTTCTCCCCTCCTCTCAAATCCTAGCCATTTCTGAATGTTTTTTTTTCCCCTCCTCTCAAACCCTAACCATTTTCGAATGTTTTTCTCTCCTCCTCTCAAACCCTAGCCTCTAAATTTCTTTAATCTTTCGTCTTGGATCCGAAATTGGCTCCGTCGTCCAAGCTTTCTCATCCATTTTTTGCCTTTTAAAAGGTTCTTTTTTCGGAAACCACGTTCCCTGAAATGGCACAGAGAATAGGACAGCCTGAAATCGAATCAAAACCCCTGTAATCGGGACCACATTGAGTCGCCCGACCAAATCAAGTCTCATATTGGCTAAGAGGCCCGTAGTAAGACCTGGATGTTCCCGTAATTGGGTCAAATTGGTCCTTCGCATCAGGCTCGCTCAATCATCGATTTAGTCCTTTCGATTCTGTTGACTCCCACTATTGGACTCGAACGGAGCATTTCGTTACTGATAAGTATGCCCTGACCGACTGTGATGGGGTGTCTGAAACTAGCCCCTGAATATTGGCACTGGAAATGGTCGTTGCTCTCAATATTCGAGATAACTAAACATTAATAAAAGTCCCATTTTTTAATATTTTCACGGTATACTCGTGTTACAACATGACATCCACCCCCTCTGAACGTGTGCATCTTCTGGTATGCACCAATTTATCCAAGTGCTGTTTGATTTATAATATATTCTCTACGTCTTTGTCGAGCTCGTCTTCGTCACCTTCATTATCCAAATCACTTTCATCTTCTTGCTGCGTACCTAACTTGTGTAATTCTCCTTCAATATTATGTAATCTTTTCCTTTCTTTTCTTTTAAAATCATCAACTTTCTTATACATAATATTTCCATTCTCCAAAATACCAATAAAACTCGTATCAAAGGCACCTTCATCTCGTGAGAGTACCTCCTCTTTTGTACCTCTATAATCTCGCTTTATAGTGGTACCTCCCCAAAATCCTTAAATCCTTCAACAATCTTTGGCAATGGTTTCACCCTCAACCTATCTTGATTCCGTTCATGGTTAGGAGGTACTATTAAAAATTATACAGCTTTCCTCCCATCTTCCCTACGTACCCTTGCATAAGCAGAACCATCGTCAAGTATTTTTGTTTCCATCCGTGTTGCCGTAATATAAGATTGTCCTAAAATCAACGGATAAGACGTTGTATCTGGAAGAAAGAAATGTTGCTCCGTCGCAACATCCCCAATCCGAATTTTGACATCTGGACAAGCTCCATATAATTCGCCCCGTGTGTTATTAGCTGCTCGTATTGTCCATCCATGTTCCATATCAATTGGCCATTTTTGCTTCTTATAAAGATCTTTAGACATAAGATTTATTTTAAAACCATGGTCGACTAATGCAATAATTGGTTCTTCTATATCTCCTACTTTCACCAATACCTCAGTAGTTGCCCTTGTCCAATGCTTTCGAGTATAATGGCTCAAAATTTCTATTTTCTTATCACTATAATCTTCGAAACGTACTCGTTGATTATACCCATTTTTTTTATTTGTTGGTTGCTTGTAACCAATATCAACCTCTTCTTCATCTTTATATATTCTTGCATCAATAGCCTGACTCATTCCAATTTCGCCCATTAATTACCTCTTTCGCTTAATGCTGTCAATGATAACAAAATGAAACTCCTTC